ATTGGGCTAGTACTCCAAAGGCCGTAGGTTCGATTCCCACCGTGGCCGGGCATATTTTTCAAGCTCGCCCGGTGTGGATATACACTCAGAGTAACACCACAAACATTATAATACATGTTCACTATCTCCCAAAAATAAGAACAAATTATGGTAAATTCATTGCACAATTTCAAGGATCTATAGTTTGGAATGCAATTGGTTTTTATGTTAAGTCTCTTTCATTTAAAAATTCAAAAAATATTTAAAACAAGGTTTTATAAGTAAATATTAATTTTGTAAAAATAGCAAAAAAACTTGTATAGTATATGTTTATTTGTATTACACATGTCATCTGTCTTTGTGTGTGTATACAGTATAATTGTAATTTTTGCTATAAATTTGTATTTGTGCTTTATGTAATTTAGTAATCATCAACATTGTAAACTGGTTTCCCAGCATCTTTAGCTTAGTGGTTATTTTGGGAAGTCAGTATCCTAAATATTGTAAATTTTTTTTATATGTAAGTACGTATGTTTTATTTATGGATTAAAAATTGTTGTTGTCATGAAAGGTCACCAGATCATAGATTTTCATAATATTTAACGACTTAAAGAGTGGGCTTGTAAGTTCATAATAATTAGGAAAGGTAATGACAGGGGCAAATCCAGGGGGTATTGAGTGTAGCTCAAGATACAGTCATATTTTTCCGATTGTGGTAGTAAAAAGGTTTTTGAGAAAACTTCACCATTAATATATTTCACACAATTCATTTCTGTGTACAAAAAGTAGTGAAAATTTGAGTTCACTAAGATGAACGAGGGCAAATTCTTTCGTAAATATTAAAATTTACAGCTCCAATGTAACTTTAGTCGTGTTTTTAAAGCCTTGAATTATTTTCGACGAAGATGAGCCGAGAGCTTTCCGGAGGCGTAACTGAAGAACTTTACTTGGATCGGAAAAATGTTTTTAAATGCATCTGCGGTGTTCTGATACGGTCCAAGGTTCGAATGTTACTAAAAATAGTAACTTAATGAGGTATTTGGACACCTTGGAGGGTATCCAGCCAGTCACAGGACATGTATCTATGACGTCGGAAACCCTCTGATGCTGTGGCTGTATTTTGATTGTGCAAGAAATGAAATAATCATGAACCGCTCGGAAAGTTTGTCTCGTATTGCTGACAGCCGCATCCATCTAACGTTAATAATTAATTGAGTGAGCGATGGCCTTACATTCAGAAAATGTCCTTGAAATTTTTGGATGCCAATTCGAACAAGACTATTATGAATAGGAATATGTCCGAAGGGGTCGTTGAAGTTATGTTCGGCGAAAGGTATGGCTAGTTTACATTGTTCGAGAAAATTGAGTATAAGTATAATAAAATATATGTTATAGCTTGACCTGTCAAAGTTTATAAATCTCTATAATGTTACCATTTGACTAAAACTACTATCATTAGGAATTAGGAGATATTGTTTCAATGAATCGAATGGTAGTATTTTTGTCTTCATAGCATTTGCCTAACTGAAGATATGAACCTGCAAAGTCTATTGTGCAAAATGTTTTTAAATAGGGACCGGTCGAGAAAATTAAATGTGCTCAGTCGCAAAAGACAACTTTTCTCTATGTCAAGACGCTACACATTTCATGGAGCAGAAACTTGAACACTTATACCAAGAACATTTTTCAATTATTGTGTGTTTTTTCTGCAACTTACTTGAGCCTAAACCTGCTTTGACTATGAAAAAAATAAATTATAGGAAGATTAAATCGGTGAACTTGGAATCCCTACGCAAATGATTTAGCTGGATTTACGTTATGCAGTGATTCACATAATAACCAACATGTCAGTCTTGATGACCTTGTTCAGAATTACAATAACACACTTTCTAAAGTTATGAACCGTCATGCTCCATTGAAAACCAAGAACATGGTGGTTAGACCTACTGTGCCTTGGTACAATGATAATATCAATGCTGCTAAACGATTGAGAAGAAACACAGAGAGAAAGTGGAGACGAAAGAAATTGGATATTGACTACATTGACTTTAAGAAGAAAAACTATGTTACCTATATTATGAACCAGGCCAGACAGGAGTTTTACAGGAACTTCATTGAAGTGAATAGCATTGATCAAGGTTGTTTGTTTAAGGCGGCAAAGAAACTTTTAAGTAAGAGGAATGATGTGTCTTTCCCTCAATACTGTGACAAAGCAGCCTTAGTCAACAACATTGGTGGATATTTGTGAATAAAATCGAAGCTATTTGTTTGGATATTGAGGCTTCTGATGCTCATCTGAATAGGGGTGTGCGTGACGCTGTTCCTAAAGATCTTGAAGTAGATGACACTCAAATATTCAGTGATTTCCAACTTCTTACTAAAGATGACATAAACTTGCTTGTCCAAAAGTCAGCTAAAAAGTCCTGTTCGTTAGATCCCATGCCAACATCATTGGTGGTCAAGTGCCTTGACGAGCTTTTTCCCACAATCATGTGTTTGGTAAATCTATCATTATCATCTGGTAAATTTGCGGATGATTGGAAGAAAGCTCTTGTGAATCCTCTTCTGAAGAAAGATAATTTAAATTTGGAGTTTTGTAACCTCTGCCCGATCAGTAACTTGCAGTTCATATCCAAATTGACAGAACGTGCTGTCTTTGATCAAATGTACAATCACATGATGCGGTTTGATCTTTATCCAACATTAGAGTCAGCATATCGCCAAGGACATAGCACTGAAACAGCTTTACTAAGGCTACATAATGATATTATTTTAAACATGGACAAGAAACATGTAACCTTGGTGGTGTTCCTTGACTTAAGTGCAGCGTTCGAAACTGTAGACCACGAGATCCTAATTTCGCGTTTAAGATCAAGCTTTGGTATAAGACACAATGTCCTAAATTGGTTTATATCATATCTAACAAACAGATCTCAACAAATTTCCCTTAATGGGCATGTTTCGAACAGTTTCCCTCTCCCACAGGCGTCCCACAAAGCTCATGTTTAGGACCCCTGTTATTTACAATTTATTCCAGCAAACTATTTCAGATTATACGAAATCATCTTCCAGATGCCCATGCATATGTGGATGATTCGGAACTCTACCTTTCATTCAAGCCTGATAGCCAAGTGAGTCAGGACGAGGCATTAGATGTGATGGAACGGTGTGTGGATGACATAAGAACATGGATGATAGTGGATAAACTAAATGAATGAAGGAAAAACTGAGTTCTTAGTTGTTGGAACTAAGCAACAACTTTGTAAAGTTAACATTGATCATCTTACTGTTGGTGGATCTAAAATCAATTCTACAAGCGCGGCCAAGACTCTGGGCACATGGCTTGATTCCAATCTTAACCTACAAGAACATATTAATAAGACTTGCAGAGCTTCATTCGTTCATCTAAATAACATAAGGCGCATCAGGACATACTAGTTCAAGCATTTATTATCAGACACCTGGACTACTGCAATAGCCTCCTTTATGGCCTACCCTCAGTTCATCTGGACAAACTACAGCGTGCACAGAACTCTGATGCGAGAATAATCTGCAAAACATCAAGATTTGACCACATAACTCCTGGGTTATATACCCTGCACTGGCTGCCTATCAGATGCCGCGTTAACTATAGAAGACTTATTCTTACTTTTAAAGCGATTCACAGCCTTGCGACTGAATATATTTGTAGTTTAATTAGCATCAGGGAACAATTAAGATACAGTCTTCGATCTAACAGTGGACTATTACTTAATCAACCTACAATCATAGACAAATTTACTCGGACAAACATGGCAAATATTTTTTGCAACATTTTCATATATACTTCGTAATGTTGGTCCCCCCTCCCCTGAAACAATGTTGATGAACATTTCAGTCATCATGGCAACTATTGTGGTATTTGTACCAACAACATTGTAACGGGGGAGTGGGGAATACGGCTGGATATGCATATAAATAGTTGATTGCATTAAACTTCAGCCATTTTTAATCAGCGTCCACGTGTTATTTGTCTAGGATTGTCTGAAAAACTACAGGTTGTATAAAGCATTAATTATTGTACAATTTTAGCCCATTGTCACATTATATAAATACCGAAGTTCTATAAACACATGAAATAAGATATTATTTTAAAAATATTAAAAATTAATGTTAAAATATGCAAAACATTTTGATAATTACAGTTAGTTGATTAGATTGTTGGCATCATATGATTAACGTCATGTGCATATAAATCGCAACATGGCGAGAAAAGTATGCGCGGAGAATATACAGGTCTGAGTTATCGTCAAATAGCCGTTCCATGTGGAATATTAAAATCAACAGCGCACACAATATGTCGGAAGCAAATTAAACGTGTCAGTACATGCGTCCGCAAGCCGAAAGGTCATCCAAAATCTTTAAACGAAAGGGATGAAAGACTTCTACTAATGGTAGAATGTGGATTTGACTCACAGAGTGCATCAAAGAACAGTTTCCAGATACCTTAACCGAAACGGCTTCTACACAAGGCAAGCAAGGAAGAAGGGACTTTAAATGACAAAGATAAACGGCTCAGACTTTCCTACGTGCGTGAACTGACAAGAGTTTTACGTAACCACCCAGATTACTACACTAATCATGTGGCTTTCTATCTGGACGCAGTATCATTTGTACACAAGAACGACCCTCGTAAGGCAGCAATTCAACCGAAATCGCGAGTGTGGAGAAAGAAAGGTGAAGGGCTTGCCATCACTGCGAAAGGCAGCAAAACTCTGGCAGGTGGGAGACGCCTTCATATTCTTGCAGCCATCGCTTGGGCAAAGGGTATGATCCTCAGCAAGGTGTACGATAAAATGAACGGTGATTTTTTCGCAGAATTTATCCAAAATAACTTTAATTTGTGTTTTGGAAAAGCAGGACCTAAAACCGGAAGAGATTGTTTGTTATGGACAATGATCCTTGCCAAACAAGCAAAAAAGCCATGTTAGCTTTAACACAGATTGAGTGCAATCTTCATCGCATTCCACCGCGTTCTCCAGATGTTAATCCTGTCGAGAACATGTTTCATTTGGTGAAAAAAATACTGCACACGGAAGCGGTAGAAAATAATATACAAAAACAATCCTTTGATGCTTTTAAGATGCATGCCCTGCATTGTCTCAACACATTTAAAATCACGACCATTGACAAAACAATTGGGAGCATGCCAAAACGAATTGAGGAAATTAGATTCTCAAGAGGGAAAAGATCAAAATACTGACTAAAAACAGTAACTTTCAACTATATTAACAATTAGTATCATATTATTATTTACTGTTATACGGATAATACACAGTAGTCAAAATATTTTACACACTATATATATAGCCTGTATATATGTTTAATAAGCATAGTCAGCATATTCTGATAATACTCTTAATGTGTAAATTTTTAGCACAAAATTGAAGAATTAAATCTTTATCATAATCTGCTTTCTTATATCTGTGGCCATATTGGTTATAATGGAGGTTACGCGCAAACTTAACGGTAAACAAAATATTTTGCTTTTCGGACTTCTCGGCGGACAGTAAACACACACCACGAAATTTAACCTGTCACTGCCAGACTTCCCAATAAATTTCCAATTCACATGCTTTCTTATAGTCAAATTATCTACATTGTATTTATGATAATACATGGTAAATATTTGGAATAAACAGCAAAATATCACAGTAAACATCGGAGGACTCAATGATTCTTAATTATTCAGCAACTATTGCTTTTCAATGTTTACCGTGGGCATTTTAAATATAAGAGTGTTGGGACACTCAACCTTTTCCACCCTTGAATTCTAAAGACAACGCCCCTGTCTCCTCCCCTCCCCTCCCCTCCCCCACCCCAATTCAATGTTGAAAGTTCTTACAATTTTAGTTAAGGATGCCCTCAAAATCAACTTTGAACGGGGGAGGGGAGGGGGTTCGGTTCAAAAGCATATTTTGCGTTAAATCTGCTTTCCCTGAAGAGAACAATAAAAACATGCGAAAATTTTGGGTTGTCCCAAGGACTTTTGGCCAGGATTGTAGGAATTTAGATGATAAACTAAAAATGAAATGTGGACGAAAATCTTTGCCGTTTTGACGCTAGATGATCTTTTAACAAATTATATTCATATACTCGGAAAACTACCCTTGAAAAACAGGTAACTGATAGGGCTACCATTGTTAAATATTTTTAAATAATAATTTTTAATAATACTCTCGAAGATGTAGGAAACAGTGAACCGGACAACCTCATTCCCAGGCTCTTTGCTCTTGGGAAGCAAAGACCCTGGTCGGGGCTGGTCACGTGACCCATAGAAAATTGATAACCTAAGAGGGGGATGGAAAAGTATCAAATTACATGTTTCCACTTCCGCACCTCACACTTCCATTGCAAGGAGTGACCGTTCTATACAATCATCTTTGAGAATCATATATACTTCAAAATACTTGCTAAATTGGTTTCTGTTTGCTTTTAAATTATACAAACATGCTAAACTGTAGATTCTTAAAGCAACAAACAAGTCAGAAAATCAAGCAACGAAAACATATGATCGTATATATTTGGAAATATTTGCCCTTTTATTGTCTCGGGGTTCGGGCGCAGTTTCATTTCACGCGTACGTTTCTGTATCTGGCTCTGGTTCAGATACGTATAATATTCTTATAATGTGCCATTGAATTGTTGTCATATGGAAACGGTATAAATTTTGTTAAATAGAGGTCTCAAAAGCGACTGTGTAGGTTGTAGGCTGATCTTACAGCAAACGTTACACATTTGGACACTAGCCAAATAGACATTAAATGTCCATTCTATTGATTCTAAAACTGTTTATAGACATAGTGCTCTAGATTTTTTTTAAAAGGTTATCATCGTTTATATTCAACACCAGGTAGGAAGGAATGTTAGCGTACAAAATTGTTTGGGATCGACAGTAAAGAATTATACGACAATTGATAACTGTATGCATTTTCTTTTTTGTCTGCACGAGTACCTGTTTGTTGAAGCCAAAATCAGATTGCACAGAATCTCTGATATGAATTATATAGCCATTCACCCTCACCCCTTGAATGCAAAGGAATGATAGCCGAAAAGGTTTAGCAAAGTATTTTTTATTATATCTGGTATAAAGTGTCCCTACGTTTTATCAGGGATATATATACATAATTCATAAACTGTATATATGCGCTCAGCTATACTGTATAAGTCCAGCTCATAGAATTACTTAATTAATGAGTTTTAATAAGCCTTTTAAGACTTTTAAAGTTTCCATTGATAGATAGGTTGTTTGCCTCTAGTATGGTTTGGTGAAACTGCTAAAATGTCATTTATACAGTATACGATAAAGATTATTTAAAGTTGATTTAAATATTGATGACTCACAGCAGCATTATACAAGTCCAAAGAAGCTGTCGGGTTATTCTTCAAATATAAAGCACTGAATGAGCAATGGAATGAAAGGTCTTTATAAGGTTTATAAGTACCTGCTGTAAATTACTGTAATACACAAAATATGAAATAATTTCCTATGAAGTACAATACCAGTGTCTGGTGCATATATCGTCCTAAATATTCAAGTTATATGTACCGCACGCACGGAAACGCACAGTGGAGTCTTGGAGTTCGTCTGATGACAGATAGCTATACTTCGAGTCTTCGACATAATCATTCTTGATCGTTGAGTTTCAGCAATGTAAATGAAAGGAATTTTACAGTCCATAACGGGTTTTAATTAATCCTGTGCTTTCACAGTCAAGATAGCACTATTGTTTACCACACAGTTAGCGATATTTGGGAAATCTTCCATTATAAAATAAATCCTTTGGCTTTGTTGAATATCGGACAGGATACACCACAAACAACCATATCGTTCATTTAGTATCGTTTGATCGATCAGTCGGTATAGAATTGGGAAGACATATATGTTTCTACGGCGATGCGTGCTCAACTTCGCAAGCCAGGCGAGTGTGGAGTCCTTGGAAGTGAAATATGATCCAGTTTCTTGCTTGATATGTACCGCAACACTTATAATTGATGACATTCAGTTTAGCAGGAAGTTGTGTCATGATGAATACGAATTTAAAACTGTTCCTTTCACAATTTCTTGTTGCAAATTACATTTTTGTCACCCGAAACTATAACACATAAAATTGCAATTTTCCAAACGCAACAAACAGACTCTTCTACCACCCCTCCCTGAGATCAATTCAATTTACCACGCAGAATCTGCGGGGTCACGTGACCAGGCTCGACCAGAGTCTTTGCTTCCCAAGAGCAAAGAGCCTGGGAACGAGGATGGGGAAGGGGTTGAGGACATTATGTTTCCAGTTAGATTCTTAGCCCAAAACACAAGAGAAAGCAAAATGTTAAGAAAACAAAGTCGCTGCCCAACCCATTAAATTAAACACACGTTATTTCTGTAAATATAATGTACCTGCATAGAATTAACTTTTATATTTGCATGTTAATTTCTTACTATTTTTTAAACTTCTAATAATTGTTATTAGAAAGCAGTATCTACTGCAGGAATGAAACCATGCAGGTTGACGCATGAGACAGAAATTAAACGCGCATGCATACCTTAACCGGTTGACATACAACGGACAGTTTACACAGTTTACTACCATATAGATTAGCTGCGTATATACAATGTAAATAGAGTGGTACGTACGTTCAGCAGTGAATGTGGCAAAAAAACAAACAATTCAAAATAAATCCAACACTTTCCTCCATTAATTTGACTGCCTTTTAAAGTTTGAAAATAATATTTTTTCTGCATAAAGAGACTGCTTTATAAAAGAAGGGGCTTTGCATATAAATCCTGCAATATAAACGAAAGGCCTTCGCTCGAAACGTCGAAGTTCTAGTTATATTTTTCAGTAAGTTGTTTATCTATAATACCATTGTTTGTGGAAACACCTGCACGTAAAATTATTACTGCAAAGCTTCCGATCCATAAGCATTTTCCACAAACGGTAGTATTGTATGTTTTATCGCCATGCAAACCTACAAAGAACTTATTTAGTTGCTTATCCGTTACAACGCAGCTGTCTGTTTTATTCTCTGCGTACATTGACACCGTCTTTGGAAATTATTTAAATGCAGCGAATGTAAACAGCTACAATCCTGGACAAAACTGTTGGGACACTCAACCTTTTCCACCCTTGAATTCTAAAGACAACACCCCCGTCCCCTCCCCTCCCCTCCCCCACCCCAATTCAATGTTGAAGTTTCTTACAATTTTAGTTAAGGATGTCCCCAAAATCAACATTGAACGGGGGAGGTGAGGTGGGGGGGGGGGGTTCGGTTCAAAAGCATATTTTGCGTTAAATCTGTTTTCTCTGAAGAGAATAATAAAAACATGCGAAAATTTTGGGTTGTCCCAAGAACTTTTGGCCAGGATTGTAGTGATGTACAGTAGAGTAAATTGATATGAAAGTTTATGCTATAAAGGTCTAGCGCATCAAACTCTACGATCGATGTTGTGCGGATGTGAAAAGAAAACTATTGGATGCTAACGTCTTTCATCCAAGTCGGGCCGGGAAGTGACATATTGAATTTAAATGAAATTTCAAATACTGTTCTATATGACAAGACACTTAGGCCCCGTTTACATGAGACCAGAACGAAGTCAAACCGGAACCATTTCGGCCATAGTATTATTTATAATAAATGTTTACATGAGACCGGGACGGAAATAAATCAGACCGGTCCCAAGTCATTCCTCCCGCGGGACTGACTTCAGACCGGCATGAATTCAGACCGGGATGAATGTAAGCACAAATACATTTCAGACCGGTCTCGGCCGTAATTTGACACTGGAACAACACATCCTAAAAAAAGCCATATAAAAAGAAAATTGCCTTGCAAGGGAAATAAATTAGAAATATTGTGATTTTCATGCCGGTCTCATGTAAACATTTTGACAATTTCAATTTTCATCCCGGTTTGACTTTGTCCCGATCTTATGTAAACGTGGCCTTATCTACATGATAACCAAATTCAACAACGCGCCAACGCAAAGGCAACTACGAAGGTTTATCTTTTGTAAATTCACAAGCTGGATGCAGGTAATCAAGTTTGTATTGATGGTTAAATCATATCATTTCGCACTGTTTTTCGTTGTAATATAACAATTAACAACTGAAATGTGATAATGGGCATAATGATTCTACCGGAAGAAAAGATAAAAAACCTACTTGACGAAAAAATTACACCTGCATTTGCACCACGACTCAGTCTTTTCAAGTACATGCATAGACGTGACTAATAATTTTGGAGTCATAATTTTGGTGAAAAACGTCCGCGCAACTTAAATAGTAAAAGACTGCAATTTAATTTACTGACAGTTTAATAATGATCTAATTAATGCATTAAGATACCAGAAATTCTATTGACGAAAAATTGCCCATATTGTGTTGTTGATTGCATATTATACAGACAAGCCGATATAATAAGACGACTATTTCGGTTCTCCTATCGTTAATAAATATTTCTCGCGTTATAGACGATCGCCTTGTTGCGTCTCGCCCAGAATTTCTCGAAATAACTATTGTAACAGTTGATATGCCACAAAAACAAATTTATCAACATTTGATTATAACGTTGCGAACCAAGCCGTGCATTACTTACAAATTTCGATTGCGAGATCTCTTTCGGTAAATAAAAAAATATTACATTAACTGTTGTGCATAAAGACAAGATCAATATATGCGTATGAATTTTTCAGTTTAGCTTATCATACAGATATATTTTGTTACGTTGATTCTGCTCTATCATTCCACGGACGACAATCAACTGTAGATGTACTAAGTCTAAACGTTTGATATAGCTCATATTCGTATTTACTACTATGCATGTGAGCTATATCAAACGTTTACACTTACCGGCACATCTCAGAAATGCCAAATTTCCATTTTGGCAGTTTTCTCGCCAGTAAACATTCTTCTCACATGCAATTGCGACAAAATAGGCTATAATCACACAAAATCTAACAATGTAAGGAATGAATTATAGTCCCAATCGTGCGTGAAAAGCATATATCTAACGACTTTTCCATACGAGGTCTTCATCAATAGATTCAGATTTTCTCCGTTAATTAATCAAACTAATTAATCAAAAGCCTGCGTCATAAACAAAAAATAAGCCGATTGGCCGTTTACTGCTCTATTCTATCTCATCTGGTTCCGAAGTTATACGCAAAAATGTAGAAAATATAAATTGCTGATTCAGCACAAAGTGTGACGTCATTGGTAGGGTAAGTATGTTTAATGAATAGTAAACTGAAGCATAGCTCAGTTATTATTGGCTCAAATCAAATGACATTTTGCATACAGATAGTACATGATGAGACGCATGGGAAAATACTTCTAATTTTGTTGTCAAGGCAACGCAATCGTTCCCAGGCTCCTTACACTGATTTTGAATAACTAGTTGCATTTACCTATGTGTATGTCATTTTTGAATTATTACCATGCATCTAAACTTTTGGCATGCATAGGTATGGTACACATACTTCTGACATTATTTTATTCTTATAAGTACCATGAATAAAGCTGTTTTATAAAATTGGCGCAAGGGGCCTGGGAACGACATTGTTACCTTGACAACAAAATTAGAAGTGTTTTTCAATGCATCTCATCATGTACAATCAGTACGCAAAATTTCATTTGATTTGGTCCCATAATAACTGAGCTATGTTTCAGTTTAGTATTCATTAAACATACTTACCCAACCAATGACGTCACACGTTGTGCTGAATCAGCAATTTATATCTTGAACATTTTTGCGTATAACTTTGGAACCAGATGAGATAGAATAGGGCAATAAACGGCCAATCGGCTTATTTTTTCCTACTCTTTCAGATAAAGCAATTAAAAATGTATTGCCATTACCCTTTAATACAGGTATTCTGTGCAAAACAGAGTGTATATATTCGACTTCGTCTTCCATGTGGCTTTCATCTGGCTCTGAGTTTGGAACGTATGTTCTGGAAAGAGTGTCTTCGAATACGATTTCTTTTCCAGGCTTGTACTTTACGATAAAGTCATATCTTTGTAGGCGCAATAACATTCTTTGTAGGCGAGGTGGTGCCATCGAGAGAGGTTTCTTGGTTATTGCCTCCAGTGGTTTATGATCCTTCTCGACTTCCACGGGTCGTGCATAGGTGTACTGATTAAACCTTTCGAAACCAAATACTACAGCTAGCAGTTCTTTTTCGATTTGGGCGTACCTCGTTTCTGCATCAGTCAAGGCTCTTGACGCATATGCAACGGGCTTTGAATCCTGTAACAACACCGCTCCCGGGCCTGATTAGGAGCATCACAAGTTATTGTCACTGGTAATTTGCAAACGTCATAATAAACTAGTACTGGCGCAGCAGTGAGGATTTCTTTTATTTTCTGAAACGATTCTTCTTGGCGGCTGACCTACTCGAATTGCACGTCATTCTTCATCACGATTCTAATCGGGTCGGTGATAGTAGACATGTTGGGGATAAATTTCGCAGTTGACCATTCCCAATAGTCTCTCTGCGTCTTTCTTGCAAGTAGGTGAAGGCATTTTGTTGATGGCATCAACTTTCGACTCGTCTGGTTTAACCCCTTGTGCGGTTAGTTTATGGCCAATGTACACGACTTCAGTTGTACCAAATTCGCATTTGCTCTGGTTTAGGGTAAGGTTGATTTCTTCACACCGCTGTAGCGAATTTTTCAGACGCTGATCATGTTCTTCGGTTGTGGTACCCCAAACTAAGATATCGTCAACCTCGGTCTCTACACCTTCAAAATCACCGAATAATTGGCTCATACGCTTCTGAAACACTTCCTGGGCGGACTTAATTCCAAAAGACATTCGCCTATAGCAATATCGACCAAATTCCGTGTTAAACGTTGTTAGCAACTGGCTTTCGTCATCTAATGCGACTTGCCAATAGCCGTAGTTAGCGTCTAACTTCGCAAACACCGTAGCTCCTGCGACACGTTATTTCTTCAATGGTTGGCATCATGTAGTGCTCTCTCTGGATCGCTTAGTTTAATGATCTTGGGTCTAGGCAAATCCGTAACTTGTTGCTGTTAGGTTTCATTACCACTACTACAGAATTGATCGACTTTCTCGATTACCCCATCTGCTTCCATTTCATC